TGCCACAATCTCAAGAGAAGTTTGACAGGGAAGAAAGAGACAGAATAGCCATCAGGGCAGTGTAGGCTGGGGATGAAGTGTTTTCAGCTATATCGCTTGCTAGATGTGTGACCTTGGGCAAGTTACTTCTCTGTGCCTCAATTTTCCTACCTGTAAAATGGGGATAATGATCGTACATACCTACCTTCTGGACTGTTAGGATTAAATCAGTCCACATGTGTAAAATGCTTGTTAAGTGAAACAAATGTGCTTCTAAGGCAGTGGTTCTCAACCTTCCTAATGCCGCGACCCTTTAATACAGTTCCTCATGTTGTGGTGACCCCCAACCATAAAATTATTTTCGTTGCTACTTCATAACTGTAATTTTGCTACTGTTATGAATCATAATGTAAATATCTGATATGCAGAATGTATTTTCATTGTTACAAATTGAACATAATTAAAGCATAGTGATTAATCACAAAAACAATATGTAACTATATATGTGTTTTCCGATGGTCTTAGGCGACCCCTGTGAAAGGGTTGTTCGACCCCCAAAGGGGTCTCGACCCACAGGTTGAGAACTGCTCTTCTAAGGGGTCGCCTATTTCTAACACCAGTCAGCATCAGTTTAATGACAGGTTGGGGTGGGGAGGAAAGAAAGACAGATTCTTGCATTCCATAACTACTTCAGGGATTGCAGGTTACATCCCACTTCTAAAGACATCAAAATGCAAAAATATGTCTATAGTAGGAGTAAGAAAAGAGGATATTTCCCCGATCAGATAGATGAGAAAACAGTGAGGTCAGGTGCAGAGGTGAGGTTTAGATAAATAGGGACATGCACTCATGTGAAAGAATGCATTTGCTGAGAAAGCCGGTTCATCCACACTTTTTCATCAAGGCCATGGCTGAGCTCTGAGTCCTACGATTAATTTGTGGTCTTCTGCCTGAACAGCCAGGAAGAATACATTGGCAGAGCAAGCTGTTCTAATTAGGAACTTTGTGTTCGGCGGAGGAAATACCCAAAAAGAAGATTTGCTTACGTTCAAGACCTGTTTTGTGGTTTGGGGCACCGCTTTGGACTGCAGCTCCCTCATCCAAAGAGCCAAGGTAATAACATGTGTCTCAGAGGGTCACGCATGGGCTGCAAACGTCCCATCCGCACGGCTCTGGGTTCACAGTGGGCGAGAAACGCAGCTGCTGTTGTTTTGAACGGTGCTGTCATTGGGTTGCATCATGTGATGCTGAGGATTTTATAGGTCAGAAAGCTGTTGAATATCATTCCATTTCATATGGTTCACCCTACTATTATGAAGCAACAGCCCCGTCTGTGATTGGCAAGCAGTGAAGGGCATATCATCCCCATTTTGCAGAGGCAGTTGTGGGCGATCAGGCCGGCAGGGGAGTGGTCAGGGGGCAATCCGGCAGGCAGGCAGGCAGGTGAGCAGTTAGGAGCCAGCGGTCCCGGACTGTGAGAGGGATGTGAGAGGGAGAAACTGAGGCCTAGATATTGGGAGTGATCAGGAAGCTGGGACTGGAATCACTTGCCAGCCTCTCCCCTGTGGCCTGCCCCTCCCTGACTTTCCCTGCACCAGGCTGCTGGTCACTGTGGGGTGTGACTGTCCATGGCTAGGGCTCGTGTGGACAGAGCAAACACGGGCTGGCCTGGGCTTTCCCTTGGAGTTGACTGGGCCTGGGAAATCCACTCTGGCTGTTTCCTGACACTCGGTTGTGCAATTAGAGATTGGAAACAGCAGGTGCTGCCCACCCGGGAGATCTGCCTTCTTTCCCCAATCATGTCCAGGTATACCTGCCCCTGCTGGGAATGGGCTGGCATTCACTGGCCAGGTCACGGGAGGCCCTCCTGGAATCTGGACCAGCTGAGAGTTGCATGCTGCCCTTTTAACATAGCCCCCGCCCCCCTTCTCCCTCTGGCCCTTCTTCCTGACTCTCTTCCCCTCTCATGTCTTCAAAGCCACACAGCTGCTGCTGATCTGATGGTTCTGGAGCTCTGATGGACAGGCAGGGACTCAGACTTCTTTCCTGTCCTGCCAGCTGCCTCCTGGACAGCCCCGCTCCAGCACCCATTGCAGCCCAAACCCAACTTGGCCAACCCAAACCCTGTTCTCCTGGGCGAGCCTGTGGCTTTCCTATTCCCAGCCCAGCACCCCAGGCCTTCCTACACCCTCAGCACCATTTGGACTGCTCACTGTTCCCCACATATGCATGACACCTTTACTATCAGGTGCTGTTCCCTCTCCCCCCAATGCCCTTCCCCATCTGGCTAACCTCTATTCATTTTCTCTTAACTCAACTTGGGTGATAACTTTATGTGTCAACTTAATTGAGCCATGGGGTACCCAGATATTTAATTAAACTGCTTGAGATGGGCATCAACTTTTTCTTGCCTTTGGACATGAACGGAAACATCAGTTTTTTGCTGGGTCTCCAGCCTGCCAACCTTCAGACTAGATCGATCCCATCGGCTCTCCTGGGTCCCCAGCTTCCAACTCACTGAGCAGATCTTGGAACTTGCCAACTACCATAATGATGGGAGCCAGCTCCTTCTAATACATTTCTTTAAGCACATACATCTTATTGGTTCTGTTTCTCTGAAGACCCTGATTCATAGTGTCACCTCCTCACTACCTCCCCCTGCTGAGATTGCATCAGCTGTGCCCCCTTTTTGCTCCCCCTGCTCCACACAAGTTCCAACCCCTCCCTCTGCCTCCACCAGACTCAGAGCCCCCCAGACATACGGCCAGACCCATCTCTGTTACTCTCGTGCCCACACGCAGCTCAACACGGAGATGGTGCTGCTGAGGAACGGGCGAGAGGAAATGCAGAGCGAGCACTGAACAAGTTTGAGTGCCGTCACCTGTGGCTACAGCCGAGCACCAGGTGCGTGCCTGCCCTCACAGAGCTTCCGGGGGTGGGGGTGGCGGTGGGAAAAACAGACATTCAAGCGACTGAAGTTCCCTCTGCAAACGGGAAGTGTGACCGGACAGCCGGGCAAACTCCGTGAGAGTGGACAGGTCTCAGGAAATGGGCCATTCTGTTTCTGCTTCATTTGTGATATTGTCAAAGAAATGAAAATATTGTTATCTCATTTTCAAGTATTTTTCCCCCCGATGTTGGAAAAGCATTTTCCAGATTCAGGAAACAGGGCAGGGCCGTGATGTTTGGGACGCGAATCTCCAGGGAAGCTTTCAGATCGCTGACCCTACCCTCGGGGTTTGTGACTCAGGAGGGTTGGGAAGCGGCTGAAAAGAGGCAACTGGCACCCAGGTGCTGCTGGTGTGGCCAATGCAAGAACCACTGGGCTAAGGCACTCAACAGCGCCATCAACCCTCGTGGGCTTGAATTGCAGCTTTGCCTTGACTTCAACAGGTGACTCCAGGCCCTGCCCTGGGGTCTGTTGCCCTCTCTGCACAATGGGAGGGTGCGCCTGAGATGTGGGAGTCTCCACGCCCTTCTGGACCAGGAATCCTGGGACTCCCGGAGCCACGGAGGAGCCACGGAGCAGCTCCCAGTGCTCACTGCCTGGGGGAGGGGCCTGGGAGGGGAGGGGAGGAAGACCCCCCTGCAAGTAAACGGATGACCTGGAAACTTACAGCTAGGTTGTTGTTGTTTTTTTAAAATATATTTTTATTGATTTCAGAGCGGAAGGGAGAGGGAGAGATGGAAACATCAATGATGAGAGAATTGTTGATTGGCTGCCTCCTGCACGCCCCCTACTGGGGATTGAGCCCACAACCCTGGTGTGTGCCCTTGATCGGAATTGAACCCGGGACCTTTTATTCTGCAGGCCGATGCTCTATCCACTGAGCCAAACCAGCTAGTGCTATCGCTAGTTTTTAAAACATAAAATCCCAGATAGAACTCAACTGCTAAGCATTGAAAAGTTCTGTTCCGTCCCAGGTCCCTGAGAAGGAGAAACAAGCGAAGGAAGAAAACTCTGAACCGAGGGCCAGGGCACATGGGGCCCAACAGGGATAGGTGCACGCCCCCTACTGGGGATCGAGCCCACAACCCTGGCGTGTGCCCTTGATCGGAACTGAACCCAGGACCTTTCAGTCCACAGGCTGACGCTCTATCCACTGAGCCAAACCAGCTAGGGCTATCGCTAGTTTTTAAAACATAAAATCCCAGATACGAACTCAACTGCTTGTGGTTTGTTCTTTCTCCTAAATAAGCACAGAAAAGTTCTGTTCCCTCCCAGGTCCCCGAGGAGGAGAAACAAGCGAAGGAAGAAAACTCTGAACTGAGGGTCAGGGCACATGGGGCCCAACAGGGATAGGCGTGTCCCAGTGTGGTGACTGCACAGCATTGTGAGTGTCCGGAGTATCATTCATGGTGAGTTTTATGTTATGCGTGATTGTACTAGATTAAAAAATAAAAGAAGGAATTGCTTGTGTTAAACTCAGCACCCCTCCTCCCTGTATGTTGCAGGGTGAATTGTGTCTCCCAAAAAGATATGTCGGAATCCTAACTACGTTACCCGTGAATGTGCCTCCCCGGGGAATCGGGTCTTTGCCGAAGGAATCCAGGTAAGACCAGGTGGGCCCTCATCCCAGAGGACTGCTGTCCTTCTACCAAGGTGTGAATAGAGAGAGGCTGTCTGGTGGCTGTGGGGATGGGGAGGGAGGCGCTGACATGCCTGGGGCCACCAGAAGCTGGACCGGGTAGGCACCATCCCCGAGAGGCGGCAGAGGGGTGGTGGCCCTGCCAGTCCTTTCATTTCAAACTTCCAGCCTCCAGCCCCGGGAGAATGTATTCCTGCCGTTTGAAGCTACCAGGTTTGGGGGAGTGTTACGCTCACCCCGAGAAACCGAGCTCTCTCACTCTCGGTGCCAGCCCTCCCGCTAAGGTGCCATAATAGCTCTCGCCCTGGCCCCCCTCCACTGGGGGAAGCGGCAGAAGCAGGGTGCCCCCCTGAGGACCTTCCCCCCACCCTCCAGCCCTGCCACACACCTTCCCCGGGCTTTTCAAAGAAGTACACGGCCACAGATTAGTCATTCCATTGCCTCAGTTTTAAATATTTATTTAAAATCCAGAAGGGAAAAGGAGAGACGGGACCCACGGGGGTTTTAACACTGACATGTGGACAGAGACATAAAGGGGGACAGCAGGAAAACCCAAGGACGAGACGGGGGGCCAGGTCGAGAATGGCAGCGTGGGGAACGGAGCTGAGCGAGGCCCGGCGGCTGCGGAATGCCCTTCCACGGGAGGCCTCCGGGCGGGGCCGGGGTCCAGGGATGCAGGTGGGACGGGACCAGTGGGGAGGGTGGGCCAGAGTGAGGTATTAAATAATGCAAATCAAATCCAATTCCCCAAGAGACACAACTTGAGAGAAAGACAAATAGACTTTCACATAAAATTTCCCCTTCTATAAAAATAATTCCTGTTAAAATAACCTCAGGATCCGCCCCGGGCGCTGGCTGGTTCGCTGATGTAGGCGATTCAGGTGGCACTGAATATCCCTATCATGCCGCACCCCAAGGTTCCCGTAGGTATTCCTTCTCCTCGGCCCACGTGTACACGGGGAGCTACTGACGCTGTGTTCCTATGGGATTTAATGACTAAAAAAGCAAGAGTGATGGCTGCGTCTTGAGGGGACAGGCTCCTGGGAGGGAGGATCTTAGTGGGTGGTATGTGGCTTCGGGAGATGGTTCCATGTTTCTCTTCCACCTCCAAGGCCAGCCTACCCACCGTTGCTCCTGTAACCGTTTCTTCAAGGTCAAGGCTTCTCCCAGGATCCTCCCGTCTACATCGCATCCTCCGAGTGCATCCTTGGCCCAACTCCCCTCTGGGACCATGAAGGGTTAGGTCAGAATCCTTCATGCTCAGGCCTCCCCTGCTTTAGAGGACAAACGTTTCAAAGTCTGTAAGTTAAAAGGCAAATCTCACTACTTCTGTTTCTGGCAGGGTGTGTGTGTGTGTGTGTGTGTGTGTGTGTGTGTGTGTGTGTGTGTTTTGCTTTTGCTTTTTTTTTTCTTCTCCTTTCTTCTTCCCCCCTCCTTAGCAGATTACGGATGAGCACATGAGTGATGCTAGGAGAATTTAAAAGTTCCCCAAACTTTGTCCTTTGGAGGAGAGAGAAAAACGTGGAGGAGAGCCCACATCAAAACGTTTCTTCAGAGTCTGTGGCAAAAATGGTAGCACCTTCAGAATCTTAAATAGGGTTTGTTTTTTCTTTTTTCGTAAAAAAAAAAAAAATCACATACACTAAGAGACGATTGCGAGCACCAGCGATTCCACAGTGGGAGGTAGCAGACGTGGGCGCCCCCAGCCCCGAGGGGAGGGTCTCCTCTCCCTCGGCTTCCTTTGCTTCCCACCCCCGGCTGCTCTCTCTCACCCTCTCACCTCTTTCCCAGGTGAAAAGAATAGTAACGCACCTCCTGTGTGTTTGTTTAAATAAAATATATATAGTTCTTTCTTTCCTTTTCTCCTTTTTTCATGTCTCCTCTCTAATATTGCACATCGAAGCTCCCTGGCGGGGACCAGCTGCCCCCTTCCCTCAAGCTGGCTGGAACGTGGGGCTCTTGCTTGGGCAGGAAGCTGGGGAGGGAGGGGTGGCCGCGGAGCTGGGAGACAGGCCCAGTTGGCTCAGGCTGGCTCTTTGGTTGGTCTTTGGAGCTGTGCTGGGGTCACCCCACTCCCTGTTACCCCCCAGCCCCTTCTACTGGGCAGACAACATCTGGGGCCCGCCCTAGGACCCTCGGGCAGGGGACCTGCCTCTCCTGGGCCCACCTGCCCCTAAGTACCCTCCCTTTGCCTCCTCCTACTCCTCTTCCCTCGCCTCCAGGCCTAGAGGAGCCAGGAGGTCAGAGGTCAGAGGAAGCACGCAGGTCCAACTTCCAGGCGGTACTGCTTCCCTGATGAGGCAGGAGGGAGGTTGTCCACACTGACAATGGGCAACTGCTGGGGGTCCTGGGTCCGGAAGGTGAAGAGCGTCTGCTGCCAGCGGCCATCCTGGACCTGAGGGCAGAAGGAAAAGAGGACACACAGTCCACCACGGGCCTCTTCGTCCATCTCACGTGATTCCCCGGCATCTCTCCTCGCGGTTTCTGATGGCTACACGGTACTTCCCCAGAGCACCCGCCCGGACTGGTCCATTTAGATTGCTCCAGCTATGTTTATGCTTATGAGCAATGCTGTAATGAGTGTCACTGTACTCAACGTTTGTGCACATTTGTAATTATTTCCACAGAACAAATGCTAGAAGCAGATTTGCTGGATCAGAAGATAGGTATGTTTCTAAGGCTTTGGATTTATATATCCTCCTATATAATAAAAGGCTAATATGCAAACAGACCGAACGGAGGAACGACCAGTTGCTATGATGCGCACTGACCATCAGGGGGCAGACGCTCAACGTAGGAGCTGCCCCCTGGTGGTCAATGTGCCCCCTGAGCCGGGCTCACGGCTGGCGAGCACGTCAGTTGGACATCCCCCGAGGGCTCCTGGCCTGCACCCTGTCACAGTCTGGGAGTCCCGTGATAGATCACCCCAAAGAGGTAGGCCCTGCCCACCCAGCCGGGGCTCCTTGATGGATCGTGCCCTTCAGAGGGAGGCCCCGTCACTTGCCGCAGCCCAACGGTTGGTGGCCTGGGCCTCCCCCTTTGGTGGGATCGTAGAGCCCCCCTCCCCCCCACCATTGATTGCTCTGCCGGCCGGTGGCCTGGGCCTCTCTCTGCCCAGTGATCATGGGGCGATGGCCAGGCCCCGACCAATTGCATCGCACCTGCCTTGGCTGGCCTGGCGCCAGCGGGTGTCATAGCATGGTCGTCTGGACGGTCGTTCTGCTGTTCGGCCATTTGGTCGATTTGCATATTGTGCTTTTATTATTATAGATGTTAGTGAGGATGTGGGGAAACCAACACGCTCGTTACCAGTTTTGATTAATCTTGTGACACTGGTTTGTTTGACTTTATATCTCTCTCTTCCCTAACAACCTACTCTGTTTTAGGCATTTGAAAATAACCAAAAATGTTAAGAGAAAAAATCAGCCCGGTCAGGACGGGGGCAGATGGTAGAAGTACATCCTCCTATAAGCAGCCTTGCAAGTAAGTACCATATCTACCAGCCCGTAAAGTTTTTACCAGCCCAGATCTTCCCTCAGAAGGTTCCCAGAGAGGAAGGTGAGTAACAGCAATTTTATAAAGCTGTCGCAATAAAATTATTACAAATGTAAAAATTATATGTATCATACTAATATAGTACAGTATAAAATTGTTTCCCACTGGTCTGTGCGTGAGGGGCCTGTGGGGGCTCCGAGTTACCTTGCAGCCATCCATGGACACTTCAGGCCTGAACTGACCCCCAGCTTCGAAGATCTGCCCGTTCCAGGCCCGGAAGCGAACTGCCCGCTTGGCTGGGGCCTGCCCGGGGCCCTCCTGCCACACGGTCATGTTCAGGCAGTGGATGGTGATATGCTGTGTCACCTCAGAGCTTAGCAGGTGCAGAAAATTCATCTGGACCCGGCTGACGGCAAACTCGACCTGTGGAGGAGACACAGCCGTGGGGCGGGGGCGGGTCTGGCTGGGATGCCCACAGCTCTCAGAAGGTAAGCTCTCAGGGGTAAACTTTCCTGGTAACATTTCCCAACCATGCTCCCAGACGTGTGCCCACTTAAGAGACAGGGAAATTGAGGTCTGTTTGAGCTGGTCCAGAGCCAGGGAGCAGCAAGGAAGGGAAAGAAAGAGCCAAAGCCAGAGTCGGAGCTGTGAAGGGCCCGATGCAATCTTACCCACTCCCCTCTCCATTGTAGGGGACGGGGGTCTTTGGAGCTGAGCTGGGACCCAGAGGCCCAGAGAGGAAGAGGATCTTGCCCAAGATTGAGAGGCTCTCAGAGTAAAGAGGAAATGAGCAGTGCCCTTCCTACCCTACGTCTCCATATCCCTGAGGGGTGGGATGGGGTAGAAACGCCAGACCTGACCACAGACAATAGGACAGGATTTACGGCCTCAGTGGTTCTAGTGCGAGCACTGACAGCTGGGTCTGTGTGTCTGTAACGTGAGCACCTGACGTAAGTTTTGACCCCACGCACTTCAAAGGCGCCGTCTCTGATCAGCACCCCACAGAGGTTCATTGTCCCCCATGGGGTGGAGACTCAGAGGGGCAGTCCCGCTGCCAACCCAGGGGCCAACTCGGGCCTCACTCCTCTGCCACGTCAGAGTCAGAGGGGAAAGGGCCTGCTGGACCGTGAGCTCCGGCTGTGGGGCTAGTGGCGAGGCTGCTGTGTTTCGTGTTGAATCCCAGCACCTGGCACCTGGCAGGGACTCAACTGGTTGACCAGCTGGCTCCTGAAGACTCTCCAACTCTGGGTGGGGGAGTGGTCACACTGCCACTGCCCTCCTTGGCTTATTGTTGAGTTGCCCTGAGCCACCTAAAATTCTCAGCCCAGAGATGGGCACCTGGTAAGCGGGCAGTGAACATTCATTTAATATTTGCACACACAGTCCTGGCGGCTGTCCCCGGGGAGCGGCACCCTGACTTGTTTTGTGCTGATAGCTCATGGTTCTCCAGGCCAGGCCAGCTTGGCCAACGACGCTGCTTTAGGTATTAGGCAAAAAGTCCTACTTGAAGAGAGAACCATTGGCATCAGACACATCCAAGGGGTTTTGGATTTAAAACAATTCATCCTCAACTTATAGGTGAAGAAACTGATGTTCAGAAATGGGAGATGACTTCCCCAAGGCCAGGCAGCCAGACCAAAACCTGGCTGGGCTGTGGCCCGGGCAGCCAGTCGGGGGCCGGGAGCAGACGGGTACCTTGGAGGCGGTGATGGGCTTGAGACACGTCTGTCCACCATGCGTGAAGTTGCAGGAGACTTCAATGGTGTCGGACGAGCAGCCAAGGTTTGGATCCACCCAGTAGGTGCCTGCAGGAAGCAATGGGGTGGTGGTGTATGTGTGTGGGAAGGAGCCCAGGGCTTGGTTCTGAGGTGGGCCCCCCCCCCCACCCTGTGACCTCTGTGCTCCACTTGGATATGAAGTCAGGGACGGGGGAGCAGAAAAGGGATTCGTGAGCCACAGATCTCTGAGCAGAGCCCCTGGAGGGGCACCCAGCTGAGCACAAGACCTGTGGCTGAGAAATGTCCACTTTCCCTCGGGGACACTAAGGTAGAGAGGCTGAGCCACTTGCCCAAGAGATTTAGGGATGATGTAGTGGAATGGTTTCTCCATGGAGGCGAGTGATCCTCCTAGGTTGGCTGGGGGACCCCTAGATGTCCCCCAAGTATAGAGAACTTAGAACTGTGGCGGCTCAGACCTCGGGCTGAGCCAGGACCTCAAGGGGCTGATGGCTCTCCACCCCCTCTGCACCTGCCCCCATCCCCTCTGCACCTGCCCCCATCCCCTCTGCACTTCTTCCACCCCCTCTGCACCTGCCCCCACCCCTCTGCACTTCTACCACCCCCTCTGCACCTGCCCTACTCCCTCTGCACCTGCCCCCACCCCTTCTGCTGGCACCGGGTTCCCCCACTGAGCGTCTGAGGGAGCCACAGGTGTCGCAGCAAAAGAGTGGGACACCCGGCCCCTGGCTGCCTTCTCGGGCAGCGAATGGAAGGGTGCTCAGGGTGGGGTGGTGGCTGCCCAGCTCACAGGGCCTACATTCGAATCAGGTCTGTCTGCCTCCAAAGCCATGGTCCTTCCAGGGGCCACATTAGCTCACAGACAGAAGGGAATCGGATGAGGTGCGCAGCCCCCTCCCGTCCCGGACTGTCCCTGCTTGACATCTGTAGGCTCCGGAAGGATGGGACCCTCCTCGGGGGACCCACTTCACCCCCTTCTGAAGCACAAGGCCTGGCACCGGGGCTCAGCGACTGCTGGTTGAGTAAGTGACTGGCCCTGTGCCATCTCTCTGAGGACAGAAACTCGCCCTGCTCCCCCTGGGTCCCTCTGCCCCATCCCACCCCGCCCCACCCCGGGCAGGAAGTGCTCTCCTCAGACCACAGGCCCCCGTACCATCTGCCATCTTCTGCTCGCAGTCCATGAGGTCCCGGCAGACCCGGGCGGGGTTCTCTTTGGTGCCCAGGGGGGTCTTAATGCTCTGGATGAGGTGGCTGAGGTAGTGTAAGGTTTTAAAGATCTCCCCTCCCTGGTCCAGCACCAGCCGGTCCGGATGGCTGGAAACCTGCCGTGAGGAGAGAGCCATCAGCCCCTTGAGGTCCTGGCTCAGCTCGAGGTCAGAGCCTCCACAGCCCCAGGGGCATGGTTGGAGCAGGCGTTGGGTCTACTCTACTTAGATAAAGAAATTGGGGTCCAGGGGTGGACTGGGGGGGGGTGCTGCCATGGGGGCTTAGAGGCTCTAGAGGAGCGGTGGGCAGGTGTCCATGAGCAAGGCAGCCAGGTGTGCAGAACGCTGGGGAATGGCCCCAAATCCTTCCAGAAGGGGTTGGTGGAGGTCTTTCCCCTGACCCTCGTACCCCCCATGGAAGGAAAATAATGGGCTCATCCATGCTGCCCTTTGCCCTGGATTGTGAGGCCCCCAGAGAATAGACTGGGCATCGACTTTCCCAGCATGCAGCTCAGGACAAATGGGAATGCAGGTAGGAGGTCTGAGCTGGCGGGCGTGGGGGTGAGTTCCCCACTGGGAAGGAGGCAAGGCAGCAGAGGGCACTCCTGACGGGGTCTCACTAGAGGGCACCAAGCGCCTTCTCAGCCTGGAGTCCCAGAGTTGAGATGACCCCAGGCCGGGGGCTTAGCTGAGCCCTGTGGGATGGCCACGAGCTTCCTGCTCCAGGCAGACTGTGGCCTGAGCCGTGGGAAGCTGCTGTGGGCGCTGGGCCAGCAAGAACGCTGACACCCTGCGAGGGCTTGGGAGGAAAAAGGGCTCCGGGCCTGGCTGTGTGACCGTGGCTGTGTCGCCAGCTACTCCCAGCCTCAGCCACGCCCTCCCCACCTGTGGTGGTGAGATGCCCGCCGGGGCTGTGAAGGGCTCGGTGCAGGCCACGTGGGTGGGGCAAGGACCACACATTATTTCTGTTTCCCCCGGGAAAGAATCCCACGTGGCAGGGCTCCTGCCGGTACCTCTGCTCTCAGTGCTCCATGAGTGTCCATCCACGTCTGGAAAGCTGCCCCAAGGTCATCTTGTTGCTGTGCAGGGAGAAGACGGGGTGTGCATCCTGGACCCCCAGGGTCTGAGCGCCCGCTCTCCACCCCACCCTCCCAGCAAGGTCCTGGCTAAGGCACAGGCCCTCTGTGGAACTCTGTCCTTCCTCCCCATGCAAACAGAGTCTGGCCCTTCCATGCCCTTCCCTGAGGCACTTTGATAGCTCCTCGCCCTCAGGATTCAGTCCAAACTCCTCAGCATGATTACAAGACCCGGCCTGAGTGCTGTGGCCTCTGGCCCTCCTCTCTCCCACATCTATTCTGTGCACAACACACTACCATACTTCTAAGTCCTAAATGCCATGCTTTATCTAGCCACAGGACCTTTGCACATGCTGCTCCCATCCCTAGAATACTCTTCCTCCCTCCAATGCTCCATCTGGCTCCCTCCTATTCCATTGGTTCTCAGCCAGGGGCGATGATGCCCCCTAGTGGACATTTGACAATCCTGGAGACAGTTTTGGCTGCCACAACTGAAGGGTGGAGGGTGTTACTGGCATCTAGTGAGTAGAAGCCAGGGATGCTGCTAAACATCATACAATGCCCAGGACAGCCACTCCAGCAAAGAGTCATCTAGTCCCAAGGTCAGCAGTCCTGCCCTCCCCTCACCCTACAGATGGCAGCTGCAGTGGGAACGCTTTCCTAATGCTTCCGCCCCTTCCTCTATGTCCCCACAGCCCCTGGTTTCTCCGTTGGCTCGCACTGTAATTGTCTAACATACACTTGGACGTCCGACGCTCACCCCGGGCTTGCCAGAAGCACAGCTGCCATCTTGCCATGAAGACAGCGAGGGGCAGAATCTGAAGCCCAGGATTGGGGTCCGGAGCAGGGACTCTGGAGCTAGTACTTCTCAAGTTCAAATCCCAGCCTTGCTACTTATCAACTGCACAATCTAGAGCAAGTTGCTTAACCTCTCTGCCTCAGTTATCTCATCTTGGAAATGGGCATGATAATAACACTAATAATGAAGTGTTGAGAGGAATAAATGAGTTAATATATGAAAAGCACTTCTAACTAATGGTGCCTGGCATATAACAAGCATTCAATTGATTAAAAGTATTAAAAAATTCAAAATCCTCTCATTTTTTTGAGGGAAGTGGTTTTCCTGGATCTCTGTACTCTGGCTTCCTATTGATGAGATGGGTTAGCGGAAGGTCCAGGGAGAGGCCAAGGAGAAGCTGAGGTGAGAAAGATCAGAGACTCCTAGTGGCTCGGGGCCCCAGGGTTCTGCTCCATTCAGTCTTTCCCCTGGGCCCCTTCCTGGTCCTGTCAGGGCCTGAATCTAACAGTCACTCGGTGCAGCGGTAAAAGAAGGAGGACTCATGAGAGTGGTTGGGGCGGGGTCAAGCTTTCAGACAGACCGAGTCCCCACCAGAGAGGCACACAGGGCCCCCAACCTGCTCTCTCTTGGGACTCAGTATCTGATATAGGAGAATCCTCAGCAATCAGCCGATCTGTACCAAGTGTACCACCAGGACCCAGGAGCCGGTGGCTGGAGTGCCTTCTTGGGGTCACAGTCAGTGCCACATCCCTGCTAAAGTCTGGGTTTCCTGCCTCTGTGGCTTCAGGGCTCAGGGTCCAATATGGAGTGACCAAAGGACACAGGCATTCCCAGGCCCAGCTTAGGGTTCCAGCCCCTGTGGCCAGAACCGGGGTCAGCTGCCAACCCACCCTTCCCCAGGCTTTACCCAGGAAGACAAAAGAGAATGCGCTCTGACTTACAAAGTGGATAGGTCTCCCTGGAGGACCCTGGAAAAGAAGAGGCCGGGTCAGCATTTGACAGGGACTCGGGGCTAGATTCTGGGGACTGTCAGATTACAGGGGCTGTCGGCATGAGAGGATCCACCGGGCTGGCCTACACTCCCCCGGAGGCCTAGCCCTGTGGTCGGCAAACTGCGGCTCGCGAGCCACATGCGGCTCTTTGGCCCCTTGAGTGTGGCTCTTCCTAAGCCTTAGGAGTACCCTAATTAAGTTAATAACAATGTAGCTACCTATATAGTTTAAGTTTAAAAAATTTGGCTCTCAAAAGAAATTTCAATCGTTGTACTGTTGATATTTGGCTCTGTTGACTAATGAGTTTGCCGACCACTGGCCTGGCCCCACTGGGCTGGTCTACACTCCCCTGGAGGCCGGCCCCACCGGCTGGTCTAACTCCCCTGGAGGCCTGGCCCCACAGGCTGGTCTACACTCCCCCGGAGGCCAGGCCCCACCGGCTGGTCTACACTCCCCCGGAGGCCTGGCCCCACTGACTAGTCTACACTCCCCCGGAGGCCGGCCCCACTGACTAGTCTACACTCCCCCGGAGGCCGGCCCCACTGACTAGTCTACACTCCCCCGGAGGCCGGCCCCACTGACTAGTCTACACTCCCCCGGAGGCCGGCCCCACTGACTAGTCTACACTCCCCCGGAGGCCGGCCCCACTGACTAGTCTACACTCCCCCGGAGGCCGGCCCCACTGACTAGTCTACACTCCCCCGGAGGCCGGCCCCACTGACTAGTCTACACTCCCCCGGAGGCCGGCCCCACTGACTAGTCTACACTCCCCCGGAGGCCGGCCCCACTGACTAGTCTACACTCCCCCGGAGGCCGGCCCCACTGACTAGTCTACACTCCCCCGGAGGCCGGCCCCACTGACTAGTCTACACTCCCCCGGAGGCCGGCCCCACTGACTAGTCTACACTCCCCCGGAGGCCGGCCCCACTGACTAGTCTACACTCCCCCGGAGGCCGGCCCCACTGACTAGTCTACACTCCCCCGGAGGCCGGCCCCACTGACTAGTCTACACTCCCCCGGAGGCCGGCCCCACTGACTAGTCTACACTCCCCCGGAGGCCGGCCCCACTGACTAGTCTACACTCCCCCGGAGGCCGGCCCCACTGACTAGTCTACACTCCCCCGGAGGCCGGCCCCACTGACTAGTCTACACTCCCCCGGAGGCCGGCCCCACTGACTAGTCTACACTCCCCCGGAGGCCGGCCCCACTGACTAGTCTACACTCCCCCGGAGGCCGGCCCCACTGACTAGTCTACACTCCCCCGGAGGCCGGCCCCACTGACTAGTCTACACTCCCCCGGAGGCCGGCCCCACTGACTAGTCTACACTCCCCCGGAGGCCGGCCCCACTGACTAGTCTACACTCCCCCGGAGGCCGGCCCCACTGACTAGTCTACACTCCCCCGGAGGCCGGCCCCACTGACTAGTCTACACTCCCCCGGAGGCCGGCCCCACTGACTAGTCTACACTCCCCCGGAGGCCGGCCCCACTGACTAGTCTACACTCCCCCGGAGGCCGGCCCCACTGACTAGTCTACACTCCCCCGGAGGCCGGCCCCACTGACTAGTCTACACTCCCCCGGAGGCCGGCCCCACTGACTAGTCTACACTCCCCCGGAGGCCGGCCCCACTGACTAGTCTACACTCCCCCGGAGGCCGGCCCCACTGACTAGTCTACACTCCCCCGGAGGCCGGCCCCACTGACTAGTCTACACTCCCCCGGAGGCCGGCCCCACTGACTAGTCTACACTCCCCCGGAGGCCGGCCCCACTGACTAGTCTACACTCCCCCGGAGGCCGGCCCCACTGACTAGTCTACACTCCCCCGGAGGCCGGCCCCACTGACTAGTCTACACTCCCCCGGAGGCCGGCCCCACTGACTAGTCTACACTCCCCCGGAGGCCGGCCCCACTGACTAGTCTACACTCCCCCGGAGGCCGGCCCCACTGACTAGTCTACACTCCCCCGGAGGCCGGCCCCACTGACTAGTCTACACTCCCCCGGAGGCCGGCCCCACTGACTAGTCTACACTCCCCCGGAGGCCGGCCCCACTGACTAGTCTACACTCCCCCGGAGGCCGGCCCCACTGACTAGTCTACACTCCCCCGGAGGCCGGCCCCACTGACTAGTCTACACTCCCCCGGAGGCCGGCCCCACTGACTAGTCTACACTCCCCTGGAGGCCGGCCCCACCGGCTGGTCTACACTCCCCCGGAGGCCGGCCCCACAGGGCTGGTCTATTCTCCCCTAGAGTCTGTGCAGTACAAGAAGCTCATGAGTCTTACGAAGTCAGAACCAAGACAAGCGCCTGCCACCAAATCCTTGGGTCTCCTTCAAAGGAACCCCACCCCCGGCCCCAGAGTCCAATGGGCACCGAGCACGCAGTTACCTACCGGTGGGCCTGGTCGCCCTCTGGGGCCGGGAGGACCCTGGAGGAAGAGGAGAACAGTGAGGCCCTGGTCAAATGCCTTCCATCTTTCCCCACCCGGGGCTCCTGGAGCCGACCTAAGACCCAGGGACAATGGTGACCCTGGCACCGATAGGTACAGATGGGATGACTGGGGCCCAGGAACCCAGAGTGCCTGCCCAGTCCCACTCCCCCACCCAGCGGCCCGCACACCCCAGCCCACTCACCCTCGGACCTTGCAATCCCTGGATGGAGAGAGAAGCGGAAGAGAGAGTTAGGAGACCTGGCTGAGCCGTGCTCACATCCCTGGAAATCTCCCCACTCCCATCCCTGTAGCCCGGCCCCCAGCCCATCCACTCACCATGTTCCCTTGGCTGCCTTTGTCGCCCTTCGGACCCTGCAATAAACAATGGCCCCATGAGAGAGGGCTCAGAGGGAAGCCCCATTTCCCAGATGGGGAAACTGAGGCCCAAGCTAGCCCCAGGTAACAGAGACAATCTGGAAGCAGGAAGGCAAGGGGAACCAGCAGTCTTTGGCCAACCTCCTGCACATACCGGGCGTCCTGAAGGTCCCAAGATCCCAAGGGGCCCGATGATGCCTTCTTTTCCCTAAAGAGAGAGAAAGGCTTGTGTGTCCTTATCCCAGGGACCGGGGAATAGTCACACGACAGGAGGGTAAAGGGCACTGTGCGTGTCCCAAGGGAACAGAATGGAGACTTCCTTGGACAAAGGCCAGGCCATGCACCTCCTGAGCCATGTTCCTTGGGGTGGGCTACAAGAGTGGGGTGAGGGGAGCAGGTGAAAGCGGGGAGGGTGGCAGCCCAGCTGGCAGGAACGGCATAGGTAAAGGTGCGGAAGTGGAAAGGAAGACTGTGGGCAGAGGGGCTTAAGACTGAAAGAGCCCAGCTGATGGCTGGCCAGCCTTAGACCTGGGGCCACTATCCCTGCTGGGACAGAGAGGGAGGGGACTCACCATCAAGCCAGGAGGCCCCCGAGGCCCCTGGATGCCTTTGAAGCCGATGTCTCCAGGGGGGCCCTGCGGGAGAAAGAAGAAGTCTGTCTGTGTCCAGTGTCCATTCAGGGGCCCCAACAGCTTCCCCAACCCCTGGGGTCTGGCCAACCTTTGGCTCTCTGTCAAAGTAACAAAGTTCACAATTATGAAGCAGGTACCGGTGTGCAGGCTCAGGGCTGTGTGGTGTACGTCTCTGGTCTTACTTAATTATTACAACAACCCTCTACTGTTATTATGCCCATTTTTCAGATGAGGAAACTGAGGCTTGGAGAGACCCAGTGACTGGCCTGAGGTACACAGCTGGTAAATGGTGGAACTGGGCTCAGAACCCAGGTTGGCTGGGATGTGAGTCCCTGGGACAAGATATGCATGCGTGGTTCTGGCCGTGTAAGTGCTCGAGAAAAGCTTGTTGACAGAATGAATGAGTAGGTAGATGGACGGGACCCCAACAGGAACAGTGTGGAGTGGGATCTGTACCTTGGGTCCGAAGAGGCCAGCCATTCCTGGGAAGCCCATCTGGCCAGAGTCACCCTGTGGGGAGAACAGGATGAGATGGTGTGAGTGGGGCCAGGACCAGGGTGCCTAGCCAGTCACCCGGGACCCCTGGGCCTGCCTTTTCCCAGGGACATTAGCCACGCTATCGTGAGATGACCCGATGCATATGAACAGTTCACAAACTAGGAACCAGGTCAATCTAGGTTCCCGGGGGGAAAGAGCCTGTGCCCTCTGTCAGATGAGAAAGCGGAGGCCAGCTCAGGGATTCCACGGGGAACTCTCCAGAACACTCAGCATCTCCTGTCCCAGGCCTTCCAGGAAGAGAACGAAAGGACCCACACGCCATTCCCAACCCATACAAGGAATGATCCCCTAAAAGGACCCCAGTAGCTGGGGGCCTGCTCTGTGCCAGGCACTGTGCATGCACCGTCATACATGCATGTCCCACACCAGCCTGGCTCAGAGAGGGCAAGAACTTGGTTCAAAGTCACACAGCCATTATGTTGGGGAATGCACCGGCTCCAGGTCAGGTGGGAACGATTCCAGAGGCCTGGAGTATATGGTAGGTGTCTGCTTAGTTTTTAAAGAGATTGCCCAACTGTTTCCCAAAGCCGTTTTCCCCATTTACATTCCTATGAGAGTTCCAGTTGCTCCACATCCTTGCCACCACTTGCCATGGTCAGTCTTTTAAAATGTTCACCATTCTATCAGGTGTGTAGTAGCATCTCATTGTGGTTTTAACGAGCATTTGCCTGATTAATAATATTGATCTTTTTTCCCATAGGTACTTTTTTGCCATATGCGTATCTCTTTTGATATGCGTATTCAAATATTTTGCCCAGCTTTTTAATTGACCTGCTTCTTTCCGTTTTATTGAGTTTTGAGAGTTCTTTATATATTCGAGATATAAGTCCTTTATCAGACATATGATTTGTGCTCCTCTTAGTACGTGGCCTGTTTGTTCTCTACATAGTGCCCGTTGAGGGGCAAAAGTTTTAATGAAGTCAAATTGATAAAATTTCCTTTTATGGATCGTGCACTGTTCTTTTTATATATTCTTAGATTCACTTCTCTACAATTGTATTGAGATGCCCGGGTTGGGTGGCCAAGGTTGCAGGTTTGATCACTGGTCAGGCCACATATAAGAATCAACCAATGAATGCATAAATAAGTGGAACCATAAATCAATGTCACTCTCACGCTCTCCCTAAAAATACTTAATAAACGTTTTTTAATTGTATTGAGAATTTTTGTATCTATTTACGAGGTACATTGGTCTGTAGCTTGCTTTCTCTGTAATTTCTTGTCTGACATCAGGGTAACGTTAGCCTCCCAGAATGCACTGGGAAGTATTCCTCTTTTGAGAAGAGTTTATGCAGACTTGGTATCATCTCTTCCATAAATGTTTACTAGAACTCACCAGTGAAGTCACCTGAGCCCAGGGTTTTCTTTGAGGGAAGCTTTTAAATGACAGATTCAATTTCTTTCCTCGATGTTAGGCTCTTTATCTGGTTGTGATCCATCTCTCCTCATTCTGAAGGGACCACTCAGATCTCATCTCTCAGCCTCCTCCCACCCCCTCCGCTCAGGGGAGGAGAGTGGCAGCTGGGACCCAGAGAGCCTGCTGCTCTGCCCTGTCACAGAGCAGGCAGGTCTGTGTGTGCGCGTCAGTATTTGTGTGTGCAGGTGAGCGAGCGAACATGTGTATTTGCTGGGGTTCACTCACCGGCTGGCCTTTGGATCCAGGCTCCCCCTGGTTCCCAGGAAGACCTGTTCCGCCCTCTGTCCCCCGCTTTCCGGGGGGACCCAGCTGCCCAGGTAGTCCGCTTTCACCCTTTAGGAAACAGATCAAAATGAGCAGTCACAGGGGGAAACGGTTCCAGGTGGTTCCGGGGGAGGGGAAGGGGGAACCTAGGAGACAGCACAGTGACTCCACAGGGTCAGCTGAGACCTCAGAATGGTGGGGCTCACCTGTGGCCGGGCAGGCGGGGCCTCAGAACTCCAGCCTCCTTAAGGGGGAAGTCCGCCTCTTGACTCTGGCACTCCCCTCACTCTCCACACGGCCTCTCCTCTTTATTGTTTCTTCCCAACAGACCATGCAGGTCCCACCCGCACACCTGCACTCACCCTGCTCCTCCTGCCTGAAAACCACCTCCCTCCTCTCCTTTAAACCCTCCCTGGGCCTAGGCCCCCACTCCCCCTGCCTGCTGTCCTCTCTCCCCAACTAAACCTTGAGCTCAGGAAGGGCGAGAGCCATGCCTGACTCACTCATCTCAACCTTCCTTCCTATCTAGCCCTGGGCTCATACTGACTCACGGCTCCTCCCCCCCAAAACCCCCCAATCCCTTAAGGAAGCTTTTTAAAAAGATGCCTTAGAGGAGGGTCCCAGTGGCAAACAACATCGATTGTTCTACAAAGGCCCACAAGAGGGCGCCCATGGACAGCTCAACAACCAGTTAAAGCAGTGGTTCTCAACCTTCCTAATGCCGCGACCCTTTAATACAGTTCCTCATGTTGTGGTGACCCCCAACCATAAAATTATTTTCGTTGCTACTTCATAACTGTAATTTTGCTACTGTTATGAATCATCATGTAAATATCTGATATGCAGGATGTATTTTCATTGTTACAAATTGAACATAATTAAAGCATAGTGATTAATCACAAAAACAATATGTAATTATATATGTGTTTTCCGATGGTCTTAGGCGACCCCTGTGAAAGGGTCGTTCAACCCTCAAAGGGGTTGCAACCCACAGGTTGAGAACCGCTGAGTTAAAGGACCAGGGCCAGGGAGAGGGCAGTGTTTATAGCTGCCTGAACACACTATCCTTTAGGTTAGGTGGAAGCTTGGACAGGAGCCTCTGGGAAAGGTCGGCAATGTGCACTCCATTCTCACCCAGGCCCTGGGACATGGGTGCCCATGACGGCATTATAGTCAAAATCGTTATAGTTAGAACCACGGCAGAAAGGGTGAAGGGGGATAAGTGTGTTAGTAAGTGCCTGACCTTGAATCCTGGGGGTCCCTGTGCTCCGGGCAAGCCGGCCACACCTGGGTTTCCTCTCTTCCCAGCAGGACCCATGGGGCCAGGAGTCCCATCAGCTCCTTGCTCCCCCTGGAAAGAAAGAGGGCAAGGAAGATCCCTCATGTTTCAGGAGAGGCAGCCGAGGAGGCGGGGTGGCTCAAAGCCTGGGGGGACTCGAGGGGGAGCTGGAGGCAGGGAGGTCAAACTCCAGCATGGAGGTCACACCCCCTCTGTGTGAACATGGCTGGACCAGAGGGCTAGAGGAACTGAGGACTTCAGCGTAGGGAAGGGGAGGGATCTTAAAGGCCAGAAGCTCATCCACTGGGCAGGGGATGCCTTCTGGGTGCTGGCCTGGAGGAGAGATGTCAGGAGGGCCACACTCCCAGGTCTCAAGGGATGAAGCCATTGCTCACACGGGGAACTTCTGGGTATGTGGGTTCTGCCCTGCTCCTCCTGCTCCATGGCCATGGCCTATGGCAGCATTTCCCCCGCACCCACCCATACACACACCTCTTCTCAAATGGAGATGCCCAAGTCCTGCTCACCTGCTGTCCCGGTCGACCATCCCTGCCTGGAAGCCCATCTGGCCCAGCGACACCTTCAGGGCCCTGTCTCCCCACCACGCCCCGGGGCCCCGGCAGCCCCTGCAGGCCCTGGGGGTACACAAGAAGCGTTTGAGGGTTTCTGGGGAAGGAAGGGTAGTGGGTGGGAGAGGCGAGGCTGTGGGTCACTCACCTGGATCCCCCTCCGTCCTGGTGGCCCGGCCTTGCCTTGCTTTCCCTTTGGTCCCTGAAAAACCAAGGGGCACCTGATGGAGGTTGCCTGGAGGTGCAGAACCCCAGGAGCTCTGGAAGCAGGGCCCCGAGAGGATCATGGACCAGCCCCTCCACCTCTCGGACCTCAGCATCTGAATCTGCAAATGGGCCCGGGTGCCTGGCCTGGAGGCCCAGGGGCAGAGCTGGCCTTGGACCCTGCTCTGGGCCTGTCTCTCGCTGGTCCCCGCTGCAGGGGCTCTGGGCCTTGGCAGCTTCCTGGTGGGAGCCTGAGCCCCCCAGGCCGGTTCCCTCCCTTTGCTATGGCCCTTCTGGCCCTGCCTCCTGCTTGCTGTGTGCTTGGGCCAGACTCTCCCGTTCCCAGGGCCCCGGTCTCCCCCGTGGACACCCAGCCCTCTTACCTCTTCCCCTTTCGATCCTTTGGGTCCCGGTCGTCCCCGGGGTCCCGGATGCCCCTGCAAACCAAGGTGAGATGACGCAAGGCAGCCCCAGGATTCTCTCCCGGGGAGGGTGGCCAGTCTCCGCCTGGAGGGGGAGGGGTGGGGAGGGGTTTGGGGGTGCAGGCTCTGGGGGTGCCCCCAGGATCAGGGCAGGAGAAACCAGAATGGGCTGCCCCAGGCCCTCCTGCAGGGAGGGTCCCTTTAAGCTTTAAAGGGCCCATTCTTTAATTTCCCCCATAGCGCTCCACCCCCCTCAGGGCAGGAGGGGGGACAGGGCAGGAAGCACCACTCACGGGAAGGCCCTGCTGGCCCGCATTTCCACAGAGGCCGGGGACACCCTCCTGTCCCTGGAAGTCAAGGAGAGACGGGTGAGGGGGCCCATTCTGGAGGAGGGGGCGACTTTCACCCCGGAGGAGCCCAGGGAGCCCTTGCTCTTCCTAGCCTGTGTCACGGTCCCTCTGAGCCTCAGCTCCCCCCTGCAGGACGGAGGGGAGGTAAAGAGCCTGCTAAGGGCCCCGTGCTCACTGATTCATTCCGCGGCTGGGCTCCTGCTTCTGCCCCTGCTCCTGCTGGGGGTCCCGGCACAGATGGGGAGCCGAGGCCCTCACAGGGAGGGGTCTTTCTCCCCCACGGCCCCCGCTCGCTCCCTCAGAAAGGTCTCGGGCCAGACCCTGCCCTGACGCCCCGAGCCCTCTTTCAGGGGCCTGTGCTTCGAGCCTGGGCACTCCTGGTGGGAGGAAGGGCTTGTGTCCAGGTGAAGGTTGTTCTGATCCCCGGTAGCACGTGCCAGGGGCGGGGCCTGGGGCCGAGGAACACCCCCTGTAACACTCCCACTGCAGCCAGCAGGGGGCGCTCCGATACTTACAGGGTACCCGGGGTCCCCTGGCTCCCCGCGGTCTCCTCGATCACCCACAGGGCCCTGAATGACAAGGACAACAGCAAAAATGGGCCACCAGGTGCAGGGGATGCCTGACCTGGGCCTCATTGGCCACGCCCTCTACGGAGCTCCAAGCAGCCTCACCCCTGCTCAGCCTCCCCCTCCCCATACAGCAGGAGTCCGGGGTCCACCTTGGCCTTGGTCCTGGGGATGAAAGTTGGAGGGGGGTGGGGCGCTTACCGGATCTCCAGGTGGCCCGGGGGGCCCCTCGGCCTTGCCGTCCTCGCCCTGCTCCCCCTGTGGACACAGAAGCAGCTTTAGGACAAACCACCTGCTTTGGTGAGTCTGGGCGATTCCAGACACTCCACCCACACTGGGGCCGAGAGGGTCTCCCTCAGAGATGGAGACCAGCCTATTAGGGTTACAGGTGGGAGACAGAGAGGGAAGGGGCAGGCGTGGGGTCAGATTGTGGCACACAAATGAGTGCTTGTTAGCATCCCCCCTGAGCACCCCCAAGCCAGCGCCTCCGGCTGAGAGCTCCCTGTGGTCAGGTAGCTCCGAGCTAGTGGTCACACCCTGCTTTGCACAGGACTTGGAGCTCCCCTTCCCAGCTGAGAAGTGGGTGTGGGGTGAAGGGGCAATAGAAATACCCATGGGGGTGGGATTTCGTGAAATGATGCAGAAACCCTTGCGTGATGCTCAGCAGGGAGTGACAATAATTCCAACAGCTGGCGTGTGTGGGCACTGCCACAGGCCGGACACGGGCACTCACTGCGTCCTCCCAGCAATCCTATGAAGCAGGCACTACTAGTGTTATTATCCCATTCTACAGATGAGCACACGAAGGCACGGAGAGGTGATGTGAGCTGCTCAGAGCGACTCAGCCCTCAATAGTAGTGTCCCTTTCTGTAACCTTCGTTGGGAGGAAGGGGGCCAATAACCAGCTTTAGGATGAACCTCCTACCCTCGGTGGGGGTCCCAGAGAAGGCCCTGGGCTGCCCCAGGTGGCACTCAGCAGGGGACCAGCTTAGGGATTTTGTCCATAAGACAGTGTCCTGTCTGCAAATGGGATTGCAAGCCTAGCAGCGTTGCTCTGAGGGCCCAGGGAGGAAGGGCTCATGTAGCTGTCAGCACGCTACCGCACACAGTAGGGCTCAGTCGATGGCTGTAAGATTGCTGTTGCTGATTATAATAAGAGCAGGATGATGAGTGGCATAGATGTAAGTGGAGTTTAGAGCGGAGGTCCTTGGGCCATGGCAGACCACACTGGGTCCTGGTCCACCTGTCAGACAGGTGGCTGGACGCCACATGCCAGCGACATGGAAGGTGTACACAGAACAGCAAGTGGCAGAACCTCAGGCCTCAGAATGTTCCAGCCGCAGACAACACTGGGGTCACCTCCTGTGGGGCACATTCTGGGCAGGGGACTCAAGTCAGGGCACCTCTGAGCCCCCTCACTGTCAGCAGGGACTTGAAGGGGAGGCCCGAGAGGCAGGAGAGAGGGGAGCTGGGCCTGGGGCTGGAGCCCATTCCAGGCACGAATCAGTCCCCGAGGCTGGCGGCGGTTGCACCTTGGCCCGGGGCCTCTGTGGCTCCTGTGGGCAGAGATGGAAGGCAGGAGGCATCTGGCCGCAGGCCTGGAACCAGTTGTACCCAGGAGGGTGGCCCGGGGCGTGGGGATTCCCTCTCCACCCTGTCCACGCTCTATGGCTCTGTCCTGGGGCTCGTCCCGCTATGGGGGGAGGCAGCTGGACAGGGGACTTGGGGAAGGGGCTGCGTTCACCTAGTGAGTTCTGTGTGCCAGGCATTTTATGAGCTATGCCTCATACATTGTTTCATAGAACCCACCCCTATGCTGCTGCTACTGTTGCCCCACTTTACAGATGGTGAAACTGAGGCCCAGGGCAGGAAGGGTCTTAGCCAAAGGCACACAGAAATCAAGGGGCGGTCTGGGCGAAAAGCCAGCTATAGCGATCTCTCCCTCTACCCCCCCTTGAGGCTGTGGTCTGGGGAAGCATTTTTAGCAGCAGAGAGCTGGGGAGCCCCTGCCACCCTTCTCCCTCTTCCCAGGGTCTCATCCCATCACCCCAACCCCTCTGCCACTGCCTTCGTAGATACAGATCCCACAGGGAACTTCCCAGTGAACAGCATCTTGGCTCATCGAAGCATCTGCCTCTGGCTAGAGAAGCTGGGTCTGGCCTGAGATAGGGTCTGAATCCTGGTCCCGCCACCTTCCCACTGACCGGGAGCTGGTCCCTGGGCGTCACGGAGACTGGGTTTCTCCACCTGTCACGTGGGACTCTGATACCTCCGGGTGGAGGTCAGGACGAGGATTAGGGAGAAATCTTGTGGAAAGAGCTGTACTTGGCTCTTATGCTTCAGAGGGCAGGCCTCCCCAGGACCCTGCTCTCTCTTCCCTCCCAGCCTGTGGTTGGCTATTCATTGATGTTACTATTTTTATTTTTGAGCTCATTAGGGCATCATTCCGCAGCTCCCACACTAGATCAATCATTATAAACCCATGCAGGCCTGTTGCACTGCGGCCAATGCATGACCAAACTAATCATACCACGCGAGTCAGAAAATGCGTCTGGCTGACATATAGGTGATGTCTGGCTTAGCCTCCCCAAGGTACCCGCCCACTTAACAGATGAGGCAATCAAGGCTCAGGGAATCCAGGGGCCCCACCCAAGGTCCCAGCGGACTTATAGCAGATTTGGGATTTGGGTTCCACTCCCAGCAGCCGTAGGGACTACTTCTGGGGCTGTCGATGGCCCAGAGCAGAGAGGTACCCCCCCTTTTGGGGGTCTGTGTTAATTCCTCCAGCACCAGAGTGTGAGGGCCCAGGAGGGACTCTGGGAACCGAGAGGCACTTCCTGCGGTTTCCCGAGTGATGTCAGAGCCTGTGGCTCACTCTGATGGCAGATCTGTTCTTCTCCAAGCAGGAGAATGGGCCAGCTGGCCAGCAAGCCGGGCCAGGGTGATTCACCCACAGCGGGATGTAGTTAGTGGGGAGCTGACTTGACAAAATGAAGGAGGGCCGAGGAGGCAGCGGGGCAAGGAGACAGCACGGCCGCCTGCAGGCGGACCTTCCAGCTGAGCCATCGGGAGCAGAAGAAGGAAAGGAAGAAGGAACCTAGAGCCGCTACCATAGGACTCAAGGATGGTCTCAGGGCCAGCGTGGCGCTGCCTTGGGTTCTGACCAAGGCCCCATGCCCTGGACCTCTGGCGGTCCCACCTGCACAGTGGGGCAGGGCACAACGACCAGCAAGGTTCCTTCTAGCAACTCCTCTCCTCTCCTTTTTTTTTCTAATCCTCACCTGAGGATATTTTTCCATTGATTGTTTTTAGATTGAATGGAAGGGAGGGAGAGACACACAGAGAGAAACATCAATGTGAGAGAAACTCATCGACAGGTTGCCTCCTGCCCGTGCCCGACCAGGGCTGGGAATTGAGCCTGCAACTGAGGTATGTGCACTTGACGGGAATCGAACTCAGGACCCTTCAGTCCAGGGGCCGACACTCTATCCACTGAGCCAAACCGGCTAGGGCACAACTCCTCTCCTTTACGGCATCTGGCGCCAAGGGAGTGGGGGTGGACGTGCCTCCCCTCCGCCTGTGTGCCCCTCTGTGGTCAGTAAATGGTGGTGCTCCTGCGCTCCTTCCCGAGCCCCCTCCTGGCTCCCGCTGGGCGACCTCATTCCCCAGCAAGGCTCCCGCTCCCCTGTGCATGGGGATGAGGGAATTCATAGTCTTAGTCATTGCGTGACTGCTCTCTACTTGCTGGACCGAAAGCCCAGGAGGGCAGGGACTGGGTCTGTTTTGTTCTGGCGCCGGGCACAGAGACCGTACCCCGTACATGTGTGGGGCGTAGGTCTGAGGGCTCCTGCCTCCTGGCTGCCGTGATGTGAGCAGGGGTGAGCCTGCTGTGAACATCTGTGCTGTCCCAGCCACACTGCCCGGGACTTGCTCCCGCCGGCCCGGTATCAGGGGGCAGCTGCTTCCCACAACCCAACACCCACCTTTTCGCCCTTTGGTCCCGGAGGCCCGAGGGGTCCCGCGATGCCTTTGTGTCCCTGCAGGAAACAAGAAGGCGAGGCATGAGGTGAGAGCATGGGGGTGGGAGGACGCGGGAGGGACTGGATGAAGGACAAGGACTCAGAGATGGAGACACTGGGCTGTGCAGCCGGGCCCTGGCTCTGCCCCAACTTGCTGTGTGACAGCTGAGCAAGCCCGGGCCTCTCTGGGCCCTGGCCCCTAGACTGGCCGTGTGGGTCCCCGATATGCCTCTAAGGGTGGGTCCGCTTGGATGGTTGAGGACTCCGACCTCTGTGCCCTGGAGCAGGCATGGACGAGACCGTGGGAGAGCGGTGTGTCCTCTGGGGCAGGGGCAGAATGTTGGCCCAGTCCGTGGTCAGACCGCACATGTGGATTCCTCCGTGGGCCCCCAGCACCCTCTCTTCCAGTTTCCATCTCCTTTCCTCTCTCTCCTGCTCTCCTCCCCGCTCCTCCCCTCCCTGGGGACCTCTTACACACACAGGATCCACCGCTAACTGAACAAACCAGGCCTTGCACACACCTTCACCTCCTCGAGCCTCTGATTCCCTCCCTGAGCAAGCCCTATGCCGCAGGGCCTGGTGTCCCAGATGTGTATGTGGGTTTGGCTGAGCCGCCTCCAGGGATGCCAACTTGGATGCAAAACCGGCCAAGGCTCTTTCCTCCCACAGAGCGCAGAGGCGAGGTACACGGGGCACCCACCATCAGAGGAAGGACTCAGAGAGCGCGCAGTGGGAGGATCTCTGTCCACAGCCCCTCGCCCCCCGCCTGGCCGCCGATGGTCCCCCCCCTGGTGTGTGGGCCCAGGTGCTCCCTGGGGCAGGGGCGACTAGGACTCTCCAAGGGCCCAAGGGCTGGCCCCCAGGTGGGAGGTGGTGGAGGTGGAGTTGC